AAAGAATGTTGGTTTGAATCGATGGTTATTTGAAACCATAATATATTATTTTCAACGGTTAAAACTGATTTAAAAGTATAAAAATTAATTGCGTGAAGTTGCCTTGTAAGTTTAAAAAGTTAAAACCTGAAAAAGAATAAATATATATTTATATATATATGTTAATATTTGAATCTGCTCAAATTGAATTTTATGCCGGTGTAAACTCTACAGATTAACAGAATTAAATGCGGTAATCGTGACGTTTAAATCGAACGTTTCTGTATCTTGTAAAAGTTGCAACCGTTTTTATTATTGATGGAAAATGCATCAGAAAGTATTTTCGGCCGCAGCGCTAATCGGATTTTCCGTAAGTACGCTAATCACGTGTACGCATAAATATAGATTTTTCCAACTTGTCTCACGTCACGTGTGTTATAAATATAAAAGATTTGTAATAATCGCCGTTTCCTCCTCGCACAATCCTTTTGCGGAGCTCGTAAAAGAAAAAAAAAAAATAATTTAATTAATCGTACTTAATGCGACAGACGCAACGTAAGTTCTTGTTAAAACCGGATACGGATCACGAATTACGCAACTATCTGCGGCGGCAGGAATTCGCGCTGCACCTGCGAAACGCGATGTCATCAAACGTCATCAGCGAAATTCTTTTAGTCGGACGTGTGCGCCTGCAAGAAGAGTCCGCTCGTGCCGCAATGAGATTTTAACATTTCTTTTTAACATTTAATACCAACCGTTTTACACGCACGCAATATAACGCCTCCATGGATTCTGTTCTAGGAAAACACGCGCATCGCGAGAGGATGCGATTAATATATGATAGCAAGACCTCTCGATCCGGTCTTGTTGAATATAAATCGCAAGTTACGTGCGTTGAATTAAACGAGCAGATATATGTTTTCCTTTCGTTGCACCTGTGTCTCCTTTTATACTCCAAGCGTACGTTTCTCCGCGTGTAGAAAATAATAGACATTTTGCAAGAGCGTGCTCCGGATACGGTAAACGATAACGTCGAGTCGCGTGTATAGCGGATGAGCGTAGCGTGAATTTGGGACGGACGTGTATTACCATGAGGATCTTTAGTTGTTTTGCAATAAGTATTGAGGTTTTTTTTTTATCGATTAGGGTATAATCAAAATTTTTAAACACATACGTATTGCGGAAACGCAATGGCAAGTAGAACGCGGAAATTCTGGCGTCGGGAATATTATTTTATCGAAAAACGCGCGCACAGGAGAGCAAAGTGACTCGTAGACCGTGGAAAAAAAAATCGAGAAGCGTAACCGGAAACGAACATTGTCAAAATATGCCGGGGCCAACGTCCGGCGGGGAGACAATTTTTACGAGCGCATTTTCTAGGATGGATCAATATGTATGGTAATGCGATCGCGCGGACTGTTCAGGTTGTACACATCAGCATCGTCGTTCTACGTGCACACGCGATCATAACTGTATTATGTATGCGCGCGGTACGTAGTACGTGACTTTTCATATACGTATAATAAACATGTTACTTAGTGACCTACGGAATATACTCGTACATTTACGCGTATTGTGGACACGTATTTATCCTATGTATATTAACATCGCCAAGGTATTAAGATAAGGGATTGGTGTAATTACCACAATCAGCAGGTCTTACTTGCGGGATAGAAATTACAGTCAGCAGGGTCTTACTTGTGGGATAGAAACGTGATAAAGCGAAAGATTTCTTTTTAATTAAGAAATGTATATAAAAATAAGCTTTTGCTATTCGGCTCAAATGGCATAGATCTAGTACTTATTCTTATTATTTTTAAACTAGTTTGCGTCTTGCTTCCATTTTTCCTCAAACGTTTATTGCACTGTATCGTTCACAAAAACATGTATATATGTGCGAGTATGTATGTGATGTGTAAATGTGAATAAATTCGTGTGAGTTCGTTAAACCCAAATGACTATGCGGAATAGTCATCTCTGTGAGACAAAGCGACAAAAAAAAAAGGATTTATCGATATACGTCATCGATAGCTTAATATCGCATATATATAAAGATAAAAGTTTAATAAAGTCAGAGAATCAAATAAATTTCTTTTAAAAAATAATAATATTATTCGCAATTTTTTTCTGGAAAGATATTACAAAAACTTGTTGCTAAAAGTTAAATAAATATTATTTAAATAAATTCATTATGTAGCCATAACGATCGCATACCGAATAAGTTTCATTATGCATTGGAATAGAAATATTCTGATACGCAGCTATAATACTATTAATATTACTAATAAAAATTTATGAAGTATTAAAGAGAAGGGCCTGATATAGTGACGACTGTGACGATCCTAAAGTATACCACTATATATAGATATAAAGGATAAATTAGAGAAGAGGATTTAGCTCTATCGAATTTTCATGATGCACAGTCGAGACTGCAGACAAATGATAACCGATGCCCAGACATTTCCGGCCTCATTTGGATCGAAAATTAAAGTCTTTAATATATAACGAAACACCACGTACTGAGCAAACTTATAAAGTTAAAAACTCTTTAAAGGAATAAGAGATTTTCAACTTCATTAACCATCCATGATAGTTAAGGAGCGATGACACGTTTCATTTAAAAAGCAAGAGCGAAGAATTATAAACGAATTAAAGCCATGGATTATGAACTTCTTCAAGATAAACTCATATCTAAGATAAACTCAATTATTCGATTTTACTTAATTAATTACCTGTCTCTATGAAACTATTTTAGAAGTTTAATAGAATTAAGAGAGTTACAGTTTTCTTCTTCAAAGTTTTTAAAATTTCTAACACATTTTAAAAGAAGTTTCGAGCAATAATTATCATATATATTGTAATTAATATGCAATAATAAGTTATTTTTAAATCTAATCTCTGTGTCTCTCTCTTTCTCTCTCTCTCTCTTTCTTAGAAATATTCAATACAAAATGTTCGAATTTCAGCCAATGTCGATAAATATATATGTATTATTATATTACACGCAACGTGCGTGTGTGCAAATGCGAGGTCTTATTTTGAAGTCTCAAAGTGACAGAGTTAATTAGCCTATTCGCGTTCGTCTTATAGTTATTCCGGGTGAAAAGTCTCTGACCGAGATAGCCGGGTGCGTGTTTGTTTCTTTCCGTTCGTTAATGCCAGCGTATAATGACCACGTCCGTTGAAGCAGTCGTCGATTAATTTCGACCTTAGGACAAGATTTCCCGGATACATATTGCGCGTAACGATGCATCGTTAATGAGCTATAAAAAAAACCAATAAATGTCTTTGAACCATGTATTGAATAAATTTTTAACAGTGGCTGTAATAATATATCGCTGTTTATGAAATTTTCTAAACAATATACATATATAATAACGTAAAAGAAATTTCAAATGTATAAAAATGTTATAACTCACAATATGTAACTCACAAAATGTATCTTTTCAAAAGCTTTTAAATAGTTATTCTTTGAGACATTTCATATATATTTGTATACCTGCCAAATTTAAAAAAACTTTTTCGTTCACATATCGCAGAGTAGGTAATAGGAAGTTTTTGCAATAACGTGAATCCAGATATGGAACGCTAAAGTCACGTTATCCTTTTTTCTTAGTTGTTAAGAAGAAGATAACTTGATCTTAGCGTTTACCGTATCTGGATAAATGGTATTGCAAAAAATTCCGTAATAATATTTTAAATTAACATCCTTAAATTGTGATAGTGGCATGCTCTTTAACAGTTTAGAAAAACATACGAAATCTGAAAATCTCGAGCAATAAAAAGATAACTTTCATATATATATATAGCAACACACTTTACACACTGACGAAATTTTACGCGAATCCAAGATTGACTTGGGGATATCCTCTTAGAGATGTTCAGAGAATGAAATCCTAAACGCCCCATGAGAAGCGTGGTAATTACTTTTAGATTCTCGCGACGTTATGAAAATAAATCTGTCCTTCTCGCACTCGTGAGCGCGATTGCGTTTCCCGGTAAGCCTTTGTGGTGTTAATGACAAACACCACGAAGAGAAATTGCACCGGGACATCTTTACGATCGAAACCCCGGTGTGCGGTGCTGAAGATCAACGACACGAATGAACAACGGACACAGACGGGCCGCACACATTACGAGATTTAATTAAAGTGCCTGATGTATTTATCAACCCTCTTTCTTGGAAGCAATACAATCCGCTTAAGAAAATTCGTTCTGCGCGTTTCCTTGGCGAGACAAACGGGGCGAAATCAAGGTGATTCACATAGGACGTTCCAATACAAAATCTCGAAAGGGTAAGACGACTCTTTAGACGACTACGTATCGCGTTCCAGTATCTTCGCGAAACATCGACGGTATCATTTGAAATTGCTGCAAGGAGTTGTGCTAAAACATCGAACGCTAAAAATGTTAACGAGCTCAAACGAGTCTACATATTTTTGCGGTCAAACGAGAACGAGAGAGGTAGACGGGTTAGCGTTTTACATAACGATTTATGAGCCAATATACCCATCAATTTACAAGCACGGAATCTTCGGATGTATTTGCGCTCGCGCTAGCCTTGTTAGTTCAACTCACGGGAGCAAAAAGCCGCGACGAACCCTTCACTCTCGCGTGAAATTTACGGCGCGGCGGCGACGACGATGCGGCGCTCGCGCTAAATCAAAAACAGTATTTTTACCTCTGGCTCGACTCGGCTACGGTAGCAAAGTACAGGTTGCGAAGCTAGTCCTTCCCCGGTGGTGATTACGATGAAGAAAGAGGAAGTGAACGTCGCGCGGAGGAGGGCCACGTTTTCCCGATTGCCGCCTAGCCAGGAAGACGGGCATACCTTTCTTGCACTGGGGAGGTATTACGTAACTATAAATTTTAATTGAATCCGCGGGCCGCGTGGCTCTCCTCCCTCCGGTGATCATCTTCTGGCAATAAACGTAACGCAGGACGTATATACCCGCGTGCGAGGGATGCACGAGGGGAATACAGAGAGAGGAAAGAGGAATTAACAACTAGTTTTCACTCACCATGTAGCTGCGCGAGCGACTGCAACGTGTTGGCGGTGTTGCAGTTTATGAATCCTGAAATAGAAATAGAAAATATGCCGTTAGAAGGAAAATATTTACATATACTAATATATACTAATATAATGTTATTAATATCAATGGTATTTTAAGAAAAATTGCGATTAGAGGGGAGGTAAAAAAATTTATTAAAATATAAAATATTTGAAGCTTTTGATAAAATAATCAATAAAAAATTGAAGATTAAAAACAAAGTTGCTCTACTTATCTTGTAACTGATTAACGTTACGTTAAACTCAGATTAGAAGGACAGATTATTTATTGTCTAATTTATTTCTAAACCTTAATTTGAACGCGCAAAATTACTGAGATGTTGTGCAACCAGAGTTCTGTTAATACTAATTTATACAAAGCTTATAAATTTACAAAATGAAGTAATATATATCACTTGTAAAACGTATGTAACTCTACATTACGCTGTGTAACAGTAAAAGCAATTGGAAACTAAAATTTACTGCAAATTGATTAATTAATTTAGAAATTGTATAGAGTACAGCGCGTAATTGTGTATATTACACATCGCGTAATTAAACTGTACACAAACATATAGGCGAAACTATTCGAAAATTTATTGAGAATGGATTAATTAATTTCTGTTATCAGAAATATTATTATCCCGGAACAAAAACTAATAGTCCTAGAATAGACTGATTCGGTACCTTTCACTATCCTTAATAGCCCGTTATTCTCTCATTTTTGACATTAAGGAAAAATATATGAACGCGTATTTATATCGTCAAATGAAAAATGTTACGCAACATGTAGACTTCACTTCTAAACAAACGTCGTTGTTAAGTTTCACGCGTGTACGGGCACATATACGCGAACATCGTGATCTCAACATCGGTACAATCATATATATACGCCTCAAACATTCTCATGACATAAGATAACCTCTGAACTTAAAGCCCTCAGTTCGACCGGTCGCGGTTGGGTCTCAACTCGCGCGAACGTCCATGATGGAATATTGTGATTTAAGAATGCGCGTCGAAATGCGCGTCGCATTATCGTATTTCCATCTTCGACGACCTTCCACTTTCTTCACTGGCACGATGCGACGCCTCACTTCCTTTATTTCTTTCGCACTTATTGCGCAGTACTTTAGCTTTTAATTTTAATAAGATTTTTTGTTCCCTTCGAGTCGAGTGAGAGCACGACTTACCAGGCGATGATTTTCACGTTAATTAGTGCAAACTTATCCATTTGCGGAAGGCAAGATCGATATCGCAAGTGTCAAATGACTTTGTCAAATACGCTATCTGGTTAGCGAATTGAAAATTTTCGGAGCTTATGTATACAGAAAAAATGGTTTTGAAGCATCTAAAGGCTTCTTTCATCAATCTCTGGTTAATTGACGATTAATACTCGTTTTTAGTGTTTTTATTTATGTAGATTAACTTTGATGTCGGTTTAATTTACTCTTTATTCTTTTCTAATTCTTAGAAAAAGATGAAGAGTTAATTGAACCGAGATTAAAATTAAAATACATTGGCAGAAACGAGCCTAACTCATAGAAATAGCAACGGTAATTTAATATATCAGAACTTTTCTTCTTCAAAGACAAACCATGTTTAATTCTCACATTGGTAATCATAATGATTGAATTAATCGTCGATTGATGTTAATCGGAATTGATAAAAAAGTTAATAATAAATATTTAGCTAAATTAGATACAGATTTGAAAATAAATGTTTAGAATACCATCAATAATTTTATGGGATACTTAAGCACGATGATAATGCTGTTTTGACGTTTTAGAAATTAATTTGAATTACATAATTATTTTGTGGGGCTGACAATATTTTTTTTAAAGTTGCAGTTAGATAAATATTTAGATGCTTCAAAACCGAACTTAACGTGTAAAAACATGTGGAATCTTTGAAAATTCTTATAGATTCCTACAAGTTAATCACTGAGTCCAAAGCTTATTGCAATATCATTTATTGTTATATGACTAATATGTTATAACAGATTTATTTTGTTGACGGATAAAAAGTTTACAAAAAATTAGAAACACATAGAAGTTGAAGTTATATTTCGAAGCTTTCGAAATTTTATATTTTCAGACAATCATCAGTAGATCCGTCGATATATAATTTTTATATTATATTTTCTCTAGTAATCTAATATAATAAATACACAAAATATATCTATAGGCTAAGGTTTTCAAACAGGAAGGCATACAATTTCTGTTTGTCTGTCTTGTGCGATAAGATTAGCGTGATCCGAGAAACGTGGGATTCTCTTCTCGACATATGCGGAATGTCTCGCGAGTAACGACCGGGATTACGATTGCGAGTTGTACGTATCAGACAGATGGGTATAATCGTGTTAAACGGCAATTGGTAATACGCGTTCTGGGAACTGATCTGGGATGTTCCACTTGACGATCAGTGCGTATTACTACCGTAACCCATCACCCTAATCATCTTTCAACCAATGCAAATAAGAACGAACCGATCGCTGCGGTAAAGACAGCGATGCGTTATCTCATCTTTGAAGATCTAGTCACGCAACATCGCGCACAATATAATTCTCCCTATACAATTACCCCTTTCGTTTCAGGTATTCCTACGATTGATCGATCGTACAAAGTGCCGAGCATTGCATTGCATTGCCAATTAGCCAATTTTCTGATTAGAACGCTCTCGGAACACACACACATTTCATTTCTTTCAAGATATATACGCTCTGAAAATTTAATCGCGAAATTAAATTAATAAAAATTTAATTAATGGAAGTCACTAATTAATTCTTCTTAGATTATAATTCTTTCTTAAAATTTGTCTTCAATAATACTGTATTGTACAAATCTTCGGATTTACAGTGATAAATCGATATGAAGAATTTCTGACAATCGTCGTTGTAGCAAGATTTATCACGAATATTTTGAATGAACACGTGTTTTTTCAATATAAAAATAAAGGAATATTAATGAGGTATCAAATTCGAACGCTGTAGGAACATTTATCAACTTCTTCGTCAGATGTGTCTTCCTTTCACATATTTAACAAATAGGCGACATGAGTTTTTATAACACTCGGACTGACAGGACATTTTTTCATCTTAAGAAGATATACCGACGTGAAATGACCATAACGGAGAATGAAAAAATTAATAACAAGGATCAAATATTTGCAACTTAACGCATCCGTTCCGTCTGCAATTGATCGGTTATTAACAGTTTAAAGCTAAGGAAGGACGTTACATAATCGATCCTAATTTGAATTTTAAGACCTCGGCATTATGGTGAGTATGTTACACGTGCCTGACAGTGTTTCCTTCTGCAGGCCGTGGCATCGTGACTAATTTTCTACACCGTTACAATAATAGCAAGCGCAAGCGCAAAAACGTTTTCCGTGCGTCCGGTCGACGAACTTACGCACGGCAAATAAAGTAGCGATACCATTTCACGTCGCGTGCATCACAGTAACAGTTATTAGCAGATTTATCAAGATATCAATCGCTTTTCGTTCGTAAGTTACCTTGAAAGTATAAAAATATAAATATAAATAAGAAAGAATATATGAAATATGAATAACGAGACTTTGTTCTACGATTATTTTTATGTTTCGTCCTTATCCTAATTTTCATTACGGTATTTTTTGAAGATATTTTTAACACTATTAATTTCAAGCAATATGTATATATTTTAATATAGTTTTAATTCGCACACGATGTTCTCCAAGATATTTCGTCGACACAAATTGTGAAATAATGCGAGATAATTAAATTTCCCGCAAGAAAGTTAATTTCTACCACGTTTATCAGATGCTGTCATTACCTGAGCGTCGACGATAAATATTGATTGTCTGAGAGTCGTCTGAATAAAGGCGCCTGTCAACGATCGCGCGTTCAAAAGCGGAGAAGCGAGTGAGTGTAAGCGGGGAATGTGGAAGCGTCGTTTTCACATTTTGCGAAATCGCATCGCGTCTAAAGGTTGATTCACCGCCAAAGAAGAAGAAGAAGCAGAAGAAGAGATCCGCCTACCGTGCTCGTGCCAGCAATAACATTATCCTTCATCAATTTGTTCCACGGATTTTACTTTCACGGTGCGTCTATTCACATATCGATCGCTATTATCGATTATTTGGTCAGCACGTGCGCGTGTAAACCTGTACACGCAGCGTTACATCGTTGGAAAATTTGTTTAATTTTACACGTTCACGCGTCCCAAACGGTCCATTCAAATCTTCGTGTTAATTTAGCACAAGATGAATGTGTTAGAAAGTAACACTGCAAACATTATGTAAAAGAAATTGACACAAAAAGTGTAATACTGATACAATTTGTAAGCAAACTGTGAAAGTATATTTTCTCAGTAAAATTAACATTTATGTTAAATTAACATATTCATATTAATATTTTATTCGTTCATCTTAGAATTTACGTTTTAAATACTTTATTTGTATGTTATTTATTCAGTTACTCATAAATTGTGTTATTTTGATACTAAGGAATGTTGAATATCAATGTAACACAAAATATTTGAATAACGTAATTAGATTATACTAAATTAACAGTCGAATATGTTTAATACTAAATTAATGTCAATTTGATATTAATTAATTATTATCAATTAATATCAAATTTTAACAAGAACTTGAATCTTTAACACAAATACAAAATGCTTTTTATTTAAAAAAAAAAAAAAATCATCAAAAAATTGAATCTCAACCGTCGCGAAATTGTGAAACAGTCACCAGTGAAGTGTAACAATTTATTTCGTCAATAAGTGCTTTCCATTTGGTGACACAAATCGATACAACTATCGTTCTATCTTTGTTACTCACTGAAAAGTCAAAAAATCACTAGAAAGAAGTTTCACGTATCTAACCGTTACTATTACTCCGGAGTATGCGGTCCAGATAATACAAACGTCCAGCAAACAAGCACTATTTGTCATCATTTTAACGTCAAAATAACCTCTTTAAGTCAGCTTGTTTGCTGGGCGTTTCTCGATATACTTTCTTTTATTGACACTAAAGCTATTGACT